TTCTGAATTTTACACACACACACCCAAACTCACGTGGTTTGTATATGCACAGATAGTGGATATCAATGATCGTAAGTTAGTTTTGACATTTGAAGGAAGGAGCCATGTGATATTAGAGGGGAAATTCTCCATGTGGGAGAAAACAAATCCAGATGTATTGTGAATATATGTTGTGGTGGCAGAAGCTCTATATTTGCACTGTGGGGTGTTATTTAAATTTATTAATCCCATTTTAGGAAAATATCCTTTGGTTGTACTCTATGTTCTAAGGATATCGTCCTACTGTAATTAACAAAGGGAAACTTTGAGGAAGAGAATGGATTCACAAAATCATAATTTAAAAGCAATAAATAAAGATGAAGAAGGGTAGGGAAAACATGACCAGTTCAACGTATCTTTGAAGGAGACATATCTTTGCAATGAAAATGAGGTCTGTCGGAAGCAGGGCAAGCATGAGCAGAATAGATACTCTTACCTGTACCTTTTTTCTTGGGTTTGAGCAATAAGGAATAGTGACATCCGTAAGAACATCAAAGAATGATCTGGGTCAAACAAAACAGCCCCAAAGGCCGATTAGGGGCCAGGCCTGCAGAGAATCCCATCAAAACACGGATGGGGGCTTAGTTCGGGGAAGAGCCGAATCTGTCAGCAAATTGTACCTTAATCTTTCAATTGTGATTTTCTTTTGTTATTTTTGAGTTTAAGTATAATCTTGATAAACACTAATTCCTAGTCTCTATATTCTGTGAGGAATTAAAGAATGGGCTGTATATTCACGCCCTGGAGGATATAGGAAAAGGAGGAGAAATAGACTCTCACAAATGAACACAGGAATAACACTTGGGAATTGCAACACATTATCTGTGGTATATGAGCCACAGGGCATGATTAGATTGCTGCAAATGCATAGACCTAAGGAAGGAGCAAATTGTCTGTAAGCAGTGGTTTTTATCTGGATTAAGTGGTGGTTGATCAAGCTAGTCAGATATAGCTATGAAATGATTTATAATTGCAACTATGCAAGCCTATACAATTCAAGCTATATGAAGACAAAAGAAAGCAATATACAGAATTTTAAAGATTACATATATATACCTGGGTGTGTGCGTTTTTGTGTACATCAATCAATATGAGCACCTATAGATATGAATGTGTAAACATAGGTGTGTATA